TATTCGAGACACTGCATTATAAATGAATGGGAAAGAATCAGTAAACTAGAGTGAAAATAAAAGCTACATTAAAGCTGCTGTAAAACTTTTTAAAAATCCCAAAGAAATATTCGTTGAAATATGTGACATTTACAGCAACCGATGCCTGTTTTATAGACAAATAAGCAGGTGGATTTCAATGATAAAAAATTATATAATGGGCATCAAAAATGGGTACCCTCCTTGCCAACAAAAATTATAACAACTTATGTACTGTTTGCCAAATTTCAACAAATAATATTTGATGTTGTATGATTGACTTTAAGACACATAGCAAATTTAATAGACATCATATCGGGAGTAGTTTACACTGTTTTTAAGAAACGTTTGACAGTAATTAAGCTTGGTACTCTAAGGTCACCCTGTGTTTTGAAAAATGAGTGAAAACGACAGCGTTTACAAAAGTCTTAACAATTATTTTAAAATATCAGTAATTGTAGTAATCCACGTTTGTTTTATATTTCAACAGATATTGGAACATGAATCTATTGCTTAAAACAATTAAAACAAAATTTGCTATAAGATGTACTTGATAAAAACGGCGAAGGTCTGTCAAGAGCAAAGGTATGCAAGAACACAAAGACAGATTTATATGCAATTTTCCTAAATACTAGTGGTATTGTTGTTCAAATTCGTATTCGGGGAGACAGTTTAATATCTGGAGGTGTCTAGAAAGCAGTTTTTTTTGCAAGAAATCGAAAGATTTATCAGAGAAAGGACCCAGAATCAGGTATCCACTACATTGAATTTCTTCATGACAGCGTTCAAACCCGCATGCCCTAAAGAGTAAAGGGGTTTTCGGGATAAACAGAAAGTTAATGTTTTTTCACATTAACAATATTTGTCAGATCTTTGACCTTTTGACTTGTTTCTATTTCCAAATTTGAAAAAACACCTTTCAGAAGGAAAAAACAAGTCCAGGAAATCATTGGATCCGCCATTTTCCAGTATACTAAGGGTCATACCCAAAAATGAGTTCTAAAAACAATCAGAAATTGGATAAAAAATGTTACGGACATGTGTTTGAATTAAAAGAGATTAATAAGTAAAATTATGAAGACTAGATCATTGAAAAGCGTCGTTTGCTTCTTTCTGAGCCCCAATGACATTATTTATTGAACGCCCCTCGTAAATTAAAAATCACCATTGTTCTTTTATCTCATAAGGAAAGCAAGCAATTCATTTGATATTTCACATGGTAAATGATTGTAGGATTGTCTTTAGATGATTAGGTCATGAAAACAGAGTTCTCTCAAATAAAAGGGATTTTAGGGGTCAGTACAGAAAATACATTTTTGCCTGAAACTTTTTTATTTGCTCATATATCTTCAAACTTATTTCTGTTTTGAGTTAAGAATAAGAAGGGCAATTGAAAAATTATGGGCCGTGGGGTTACTTTTTGATCTCTTATAGGACTTTAAGAGACCTAGATTATCGTATTTTTTAAGCAATTTCATAAATAATTGTGCAATAGCTATCTCCCTTTGTCAAACTGTTTGGAACCTATTATGTTATGTATGTTTAAATTTTGGTATGCATATGAAGAGTACTTCCGGTTTTATGAGTCCTTTAAAATTACCTATGGAGATTTCTATATTAAATTTAAAATCACTCTTGTTCCATTATCTCAATGGGGAAGCAAGCAATTCTTGTGATATTTTACATGAATAATATCTCTAGCATTGCCATCAGGTGGTTAGGTCATGGAAATAAAAGAAAACAAAAATATAAGGGATTTAAGGGGTCACTACAAAACATAGTTTTTTCCCTTTTTTTTATTTACCCATCAAACTTCAAAGCGATTTCGGTTTTGTGTTAAACATGAAAAGGACAATTAAAAATTATTGCCGTAGGGTCATTTTATGACCCCTTATAGAAGTTTTTTTTCGTTTGAAAAACAGTACTTCTCACATCTTTTTAAAAAAATCATGAAAGAGTTATGTTTTTTTGAGTAGCCGTTGAAGGACATAGAGATTCTTACATTTCTAAATAAATATTGATTTTAAAAAGAACTTTTGAGATATTTAACCATATGAGTTTGTTCTGTGTAACCTTGATTTTTCTCTAAGATTATTGATTTAAATGGATCGAAAAGCCCTCCGTTTTTGTTGAACGACAAAAAAGGTCTAGTTTTTTTTTTTTTTTTTTTTTTTTGTATTTTTCTGTTATTTGCACAAAATTGAGGCTATTTTGATGCAGAATAAAGGACAAGTGCACTTATGCAATACTTAATGGACCCTTTTTATGTCCCGTTTTAATTAAGAATATATTATCAAATCCTTCTCCTCTTGTAATAATTAGATACATGTACAAGTGGACATTTCTAGTTAAAAAGAACTTTAAGCATCGCCTAAATCAGCATGGCTTTGAAACAATTGAGTATATTTAAATGTCCTAAATACCTTTAATTCGGAAAATCGTAACGAACCTTGTTTGAGTTTCGTGAAATTTTACTTTAGACGTCATTGTAATAACAAAACAATTAAGCAATATCTGGCAATCAAGAATTCATTCTTTTCATAAATATTGATGAAAGAAGTGAGTCAACAGTAGGTCTATATATAGACACGCATTTCCACAGGAAACCAGACAACGATCTATATTTTGATAACAATAATTTATAGAATTAAAATTAATATGCCTCATAACAGAGTAGATGGTTGATACTAATTACATTAAAAGATATGTATCATATAGAGTAAGACGCTTGTCATCCACGTCAAATTAAAAGTGAGTAGTACCTCAAACGGCCTAGTTTGTTTATCAATCTAAAAGTAGCGACGGTGTCACGTGATAGATTTATTTAAAAATAGCAATTTCTCTCCTAGCAGGATTATATAAAAATATAATTTGATATCTTTATAACGCGTTTAGTTTTAATGGTGTAATTTACATTATTTTCGTAACTTTTATTGGTACACAAAGCTTCGCCCGTTATGCAAATTATCCCATGTTTCCCACTATTGTTGATGCCCTGGCATACCATACTAACTAGACAGTGATTCCTTAAATATTTCCATTGCTATTTCTTTTCTCTGTGATATCTCTTTGAAAGTTAGCGGAGTTGATTTCTTGATAATTCTACCGGAATGTAGATTAGGCATGTCGATCGGTCAGGAGCTAAGGAGTTCTTATATGCATGCAAATTTCGTGCGCATCTGTCTCTGTGTCTGACGCTAAGGAGGCCAATTATGCATGTAAATCTAGTGCGGCTGCTTTTGTGTTTGACATCAGTGGGCGAGAACTATTGAAATTGGCATGGGAGTCCTCGTGTTATTTAAATCTATGTCTACATTTTCAATTTCTAAATCTACACTTTATTTCACAATGAAATGGAAATATAACGAATCACTGTCTAGTTAGTATAGTATGCCAGGGACATTAACAATGGTGGAAAACAATGGATAATTTATGCATAATGGGCTTCGTTCGTTATGCAAATTATCCCATGTTTCCCACTGTTATTGATGGCCTGTCATACTATACTAACTAGAGAGTGATTCCTTAAGTAATCATCCGGTGGCTATACCAAATCCACTCAAATTCCGGTTGACCCAGTTTTGTGGAACAATTTTCAACTTATTGTAGGACGCTTACTTAATGCCATGGCCATCTATAGTAAACATTTTTGTGCTTGTTAATCTATTTGCAACAATTTTTCATCAGTGGAATTCATAAACTTTTTATTGTTTTCATTTTTTCTTACATATTTTTCCCTACAGACACCATACTGTCTGCTTTAGCACGCTCTTTTAGCGTCAAACGCCGCATACGGTGTATTTTTTTTTCTGAGTTTTTAATTAGTGCAAATGGAAAGAACACAAATACAAAGAAAAAAAATGATTTTTTTTAATGAAAATGGAATAGATGCGATTTTAATTTTTTCTATGAATTGGTCACACTTAAATTAACATTGTAGTTATTTATAAGGTTAGACTTTATTATGCCTTATTTTCAATTAAAGTAATATATTCATGTATCACATGCATCATAAACAGGTGTTTAGAAGTAAAATATGAATTCTCTAAGGCGGTGCGTTAGCAATTTTTTCCAGTGTATGTTTCTTCCATCCAAAAATTAGAGGAAGAAGGATATGAAGATAACGAACAGTATTTAATCTCAAAGTCCATAAAACAATACAAAAAAGGAGCAGAGCAAACACAGACCTGCGAAACATTAGAGGTCGGATCAGATACCATGGAGGAGTGAGAATCCCCTGCTGACCGGACACACCCGCCTTGTGCTCCTTGTCATGGTCGGAAAATAACGGAAAAATCCGTCGTCAATTCAGTACATAAATAATGGACTAACAATTACTATGAAAAACGTCAGTCAGCATTTGACTCATTGATAAATTGTATTTGCTGACAAGATCATTGTATCGACCATAGAACTTACGAAATGATGACTTTCAACGAGACTGCTGATATTTTTGTTTCGTCAACTTGCTTGTCAATAAATTACCTCGTTTTAGAAATTGTTCATACATAGAGCATGCTCTTGCGTATCAAATCAAGTGAGATGTATATACTCCGTATGCAGGCGATGAAGGCATATTGCTGCATAAGTAAGGGAAGTTGACGATAGAAAAGTTAAAGTCATCACATGTATCATATAGCTTGGTTGTTAGACTACAATTAAAGTCTTTTTGAAATGAATGACAATATAAAAAGGCACCATCGGAGCTAAAACTGCAGCAGTCTTTGCTCAAAATATAATCATACAGAATTGCTTTAAGCTACCGTCTCTCAAGGCTGTCACAGTCTATAGTATGGTGCACAGATATGCAGACCAAATAGACAATTGATGAAATTATTAATCGTAAAATATTACTGTATATGTTCTTAGAATAACTAGATGTGATACAGAACAATGGTATATGGTATTTGATAAGCTCGAGATTCTGTTACATAAAAATATAATTGTTTTTAATTCATGATTTTAACATTTTTTTATTACAGTTGGAAAATTCAATGTAAATGTTACCCCGGTAAAATATACAGAAGTGGCAAATAAAATTTTTTGGATAAGCAGTGGAGGACACTACAAACCAAACTGTACTGCTTTGCAAAATGTGGCGATAATTATCCCATTTCGGAACAGAGAGAATCAACTAGCTATTTTGATGAACAATCTTCATTCTATATTATACCGCCAGCAAATCGAGTACACCGTCTACGTTGTAGAACAGGTATTTGCAAATATAAGCATCCTTTATCATTTCTTGGTCAAGATACATATGATCTTGTTTATCTTAATTTGAGTATCTATATATTGGAAAATCATCATGATTTTTTAAAAAGAATAACGCAGTTGGAAAAAAAGATAATTGTGGTTTGCAACATATCTTTATAAGTTGCAGAAGAAGCATATTACAATGCATAGGTTTCTCAATGAAGATAACGCCTAAAATGACACATTTTAAGTTTTTTTCTGTTCAAAACTTAAAATACTCTAAATAAATGACACCTTATTTCCAGAAATATCCTCCTTTATGTCCCCATATTTAAGACGATTTATCACACTCATATATTAACATTTGCCAATATCTTCCTTCTGTGACAATACAAATGAAACTGATATTCAATTTTCAATTACATGCATTCGGTAACATGATCAGACTTTCATGTGTACGGAAAGCAAATCGTGCGAAACATTTGGAAAGTCTTCAGTGTGACGTCATATGACATCATATATACGTTATGTTGAATTTCAGTAACAAAGTATAAATAGTGTAGTGTAGTTTTCTTTGTAATGTGAAAAGAAATAAAAATATAAATATAAGAAATGAAATATTATGTATTAGAGTTTCATCGGAATATGACATGAAGTCGGTGCGTGATCAAATCTACTATAACGCCCTTCGGGAGTTATAGAATTTGATCACGTGACCGACTTCATGTCATATCCTAATGAAACTGTAAAAATGATTCTTTTTAATCTTTTAAATAATTACGTAACTAATATCCAAGCCGATACAGCTTTCTTAAAACTTTGTTTTGTATTCACTTCCTTGATCTCAAGTGGCAATGTATTCCAGTCTTTAATAACATTATAGAAAAATACATGAGGACTCCTTCCATTTTATCTTATGTATAATGATATTCTTATTTGTTGCACTTCTTGTAATACTATTATTTAGTACAAAGTGATCATGGAGATAAGCTGGTGCATTACCATGATATTTATTAAAACATGGATTAATCTTAATTGTTTAACTCTATCCCCCAATCTTAACATATTTAGAGAGTTTAAAATATTACTAGATATACTCTTTAATGGACCATGGTTTAAAATGACGCGTACCACTTTGTTCTGGGTTACATATAATCTGTGGTTAAGTTGTTTGTTTATTCCACAATACTAAGAAGAACAGCATAGTCAAAATAACATTGTATCAAGGCAGAACAAGGGTCTTTCTTGACTGTGTACTAAGACAAGATGCATTTCTATTTAAAAACTTAAGTCAAGCATTAACATTTTGTGTGATGCTTGTTACAATATTTTTACATGAATATTGAAACTTGTCAGTACAGATTCCTAACTATAACTCTCCACATGATACTTTTAATACACATGTGGGAGTAATTTTAAACTTTAAGTGTGTTCAATGCAGCACAAAAAATGTGATTTTTCTGGCAATGAAAGTTTGATAAGCAAAGAGATTATTTTTAAGTCTTAAACTTTTTTAGGATTGAAGCAAATAGGTTTGCGTTGTAGAATCTAAATTCAATGTTAAAACTTAAAAATGATGCAGAATTTTAGAAATAAAGGTCCAGACCAAAATGGACTCAAAAGCACAGGATCTAAGGTCATTACGGCAATAGTGAGTTGTTATATAAACTTTCATTGCAAGCCCTCAAAAGGTTATCAAGATATTGCGTGTTAACGAACGTTTTACAGACAAATCTTTCAAAATCTGTACTTTATTATTGTTTTTAATAGGTCCATGTATTTAAATATCTAAATAAAATAAAAATGCGAATGGAATCAGTAAATTGCTTTTTTTTAATAAATATTTTGCATCGAGTCAATAATTAGAAAATGGACACACTTTTCATAAACAAAAATATATATATATGCTTTATTCCCTTTTTTTTAAAAACTTCTTCAGTACAATGGATCCTGTGATATAATGAAGAGTGAGTATTAATTAGAACTTTCTGTTAAGCGTTTTATTGGAGAAATCGATAGATTCCTTTTTGATATGCATAGATACATAGTAACACTTAATCAAAATATACAAATACTACTACAGAAGTTTTGCTTAAAATATAATATATGATGAGTAATATTATATTGTTCATTATATGTAAAAACCGCATATTTCTACCGCCTTGTTTCCAGAGGGGGCATCCCAAAATGCCCAAAAATACAAATTTCCTTTTTTTTTTTTTTTTTTTTAGAGTACTTCAAAATACACTGCATGCAAAAGATCTATTCAAAAAATAATGAATATGATGGAAAGATTATCAAACTTCTATGTTTTAAATTTCAGGAGCATATATTAATACGTTTTCTTTTATAAAATTTTTTGTTACCCCTAAGAATTAAATGAGCGTCACGTTATCTACTTCAAAATCACACGATTACGACGTCAATTAAGTAAAAAAAATGCTTTAAACAATTAGTTCCCTTCATTTTACTATGATGTTCGAAATATTGGGCATTTGAAACCCCAGTCGGTCCCCTTTAAAAAAAAATTTGGACGCTTTAAAAGTTTGTCAATGATAATTTTCATGACTAAAGTGACCTCAGCTTTCAATACCTTGTTTGACGAATTGCTATAGATTATAGGTTTATGATTAAACGAGTCATAATAAAATAGTAAGTTTTTTCCTTTTCCTTTCTTTAAAGGCTGATAACAGAGGGTTTAATAAAGGAAAACTCTACAATGTCGGATATACCGAGGCAGTCAAGCGCAATCATGACTGTTTTGTATTTCATGATGTGGATCTAATTCCAGAAAATGATAACATTTTATATGGATGCATTAGAAGTCCTATGCACCTATCTAGAGCAATAGATAAATTTAACTACAAGTAAGTTATTGTTTTAATTATATATTTCTTGCTACTAAAATAATGCTATATTTAAATATTGTTGAACTTTTTTTCCCTATCTTCATTTGATAAATACTAGTAATCGGAAAAGATATAACCAATAAGGCATACTTTTCAAAACATATTTTGTGTTTTAAAAACTTCATATTTGATCGAGTGCTGTGTCGTTTGAATCATGATATAAGGCCCCACATCTTCAATTGAATATTTGTTTACATTTATATATATTTTCCTTTTCATGCCACTGAGACCACTGATATTATTTTTATCTTCTTGCCTTAAAGTCCAAAATGATGACTGCATTTTTATTTATTCATAGAAATGAGTTGAACAGCACGCATAACTGCCTATGATCGATCTCTCCATATGACTGCATTAAAAAGGTTGATGGCTTCACAAAAGATCTTTTCGTAATAAATTGAAATCGTACACTTAAAAGTTGAAAGTTTGATTTCATAATAGCTCAGAAAAAAAATTATTTCTATGTTTAAAAAAGTTTATTTTAGCTTATTTTAAATTTTTTTTTTTTTTTTTTTGTGAGAGGGTATCAACATTACCGATATGATTAATCTACAGTTAGACTCTAAATGTTTTTCTCGAAGTCAGCTGGAAATGTTATCATAAAGGTCCCTTTTAAATAATAAAGCCAAAATCTTTGTGGTAGTGAAGTACTCATGCACTCGCACCATTGCTTTATATAGTTGTTGCATTGTCCTATGAATTAAAAAGAATTATGAGCCACATTATTGCTGCTATCAATCTGCATTAACATGTATAATCAAAGTACTGAAAGTACTGATACGAGTTGATGGTTGTTCAAGCTTATAAATTGAACACTGCTTTACTGATAAGGAAATGAAATTGCCTTTTAAAATTAGAAATTTAGAAATTTAGACTTCCATTTGATTTCTGATGTCAATTTCATGAGATGATGCACTGTATTATTAAATCCCATAAAGAAATAATGTCATGTGAAATAATAAGGAAAGCAATTCTTTTTACATTATATTTAAACATTTATTGTGTATTAGTGCCCTATTTTAACAAATGAAATGAAACGCTCTTTTATACCTACAGTGTATCATGGTACAACAATATCTGAATGCCCTTAATGTGGATACAGCAAAAGTAATATCTCTTTAAAACAAGAGGCCCATGGGCCACATCGCTCACCAGAGTAACTTGGGTGATGCAGTTCTTTACCAGATTCCCTCTCTTTCTTTACCTATGATGCCCACTACCCCCTTCCCTTTTATGATTTTAAAACTTTAGAATCTACACAACCCAAGGATGCTTCCACATAAGTTTCAGCTTTCCAGGCTCAGTGGTTCTTGAGAAGAAGATTTTTAATTTTGTTCTATATATTTCTATGTTAAACTTGGATTCCCTATTGTGGCCCCGCCCTACCACCGGGGGTCATGATTTCAAACAATTTAATATCTACACTACCCAAGGATGCTTCCATAAAGTTTCAGCTTTCCTGGCCCAGTGGTTCTTGAGAAGAAGATTTTTAAAGCTTTGTTCTATATATTTCTATGTAAAACTTGGATTACCTATTGTGGCCCCGCCCTACCCCCGGTGGTCATGATTTTAACAATTTAATATCTACACTACCCAAGAATGCTTCCACATAAGTTTCAGCTGTCCTGGCCCTGTGGTTCTTCAGAAGAAGATTTTTAAAGCTTTGTTCTATATATTTCTATGTAAAACTTGGATTCCCTATTGTGGCCCCGCCCTACCCCCGGGGGTCATGATTTTAACAATAAAATATCTACACTACCCAAGGACGCTTCCACATAAGTTTCAGCTTTCCTGGCCCAGAGGTTCTTGATAAGAAGATTTTTATTGACCCCACATATTTTTGTCTTTTCTTGATTATCTCCCCTTGTAAGGGGACTTGGCCCTTCATGTTAACAATTTAAACTTCCCATCACCCAAGGATGCTTTTTGCCAAGTTTGGTTAAAATTGGTCCATTGATTCTTGATAATAATAATAATAATAATAATAATAATTCTTTATTTAAAGAAGGTAACCCGATTAGTGCACACACTATTCTTCCCCGGGGCCTTCTATAGACAAAATATCAACATACATACATGTACATACATACATACATACATACATACATACATACATACATACATACATACATACATACATACATACATACATACATACATACATACATACATACATACATACATACATATAAATATACAAAATCAATAAATAATCATAAGCTATTTCTACATTGTTTTACAAATTTTTTGACTTGATGCTTGAAAGCATTGAGTGTTTGAGACATTCTTATATGTACAGGTAAATTATTCCATAAGATAGCACCAGAGTATTGAAAGGAGTTCTCAAAGAGTTTACATTTATGAGATGGTACACAGAGGTCTAAATTAGATTCAGATCGAAGATTGTATCGATTATTACACTGGAAGTCAAACATACTATTTAGATAAGTAGGGTGAGAGTTGAACAATGATTTATATAACAAAACATATTTATTTACAATAAGTTGCTCATACACTGTGAGCCAATCTAGTTTCTCAAAGAGAGGTTGTGAGGGCGCATCAGGAGGAGCATCTAAAATACATCTTGCAGCACGTTTTTGAAGCTTATATACTCTGTCAAGATTTGAGTGAGATGTATTACCCCAAACAGTTAAACAATAATCAATTGAAGGTATAATATATGCATTGTAAAACAGCTTGCGTGTTTGAATAGGAAGAAACTTTTTAATTCTACGGAGGGCAGAAATTTTACGTGACAGTGTTTTACAAACATGGTCAATGTGTACATTGTATTGTAAAGAATTATCTAAATAAACTCCAAGAATTTTTTCATTTGATACAATATCAAGTTTTCTGTTAGATACAAACAGATTAATTTCATGCTCAGAAAATTTTGATCTCTTTTGATGCGTACCAACTAACATGCATTTAGTTTTTGTAGCATTTAGAACCATTTGATTTTGAGAACACCATTTTTCTATAAAAGCTATATCCGTTGATAATGTATCTACAATAGTTTGAGAATCTTTTCTTGATGCATGTAAAGTGGCATCATCTGCAAATAACTCTAATTTGGATTTTGTAATACATAAGGGAAGATCATTAATGTAAAATAAAAACAGAAGAGGACCTAGAATAGATCCCTGTGGAACTCCCGCTGTGACTTGCTGATAAGATGAATGTTTGTTGGACAGATGTACACTTTGAAGTCTTTCACTTAAATATGATCTGAACCATTGTAAAGTTATTGCATCAAAGTTATAACATTGTAGTTTTTTAAGTAGAATATCATGATTGACAAGGTCAAAAGCTTTACTGAGATCACGAAAAACAGTACCAACAAGTTTACCTTGGTCCATTTCATTTAACCATTCATCTGTAATTTTTGTAAGGGCTGTTTGGCATGAATGTAGTTCTCTGAAGCCTGATTGAGAGTCTACTATAAGATCAAAATCCGAAAAAAGAGATCGTATATATTTTGCCACATGTTTTTCAATAACTTTTGATAATGTTGGTAAAATAGAAATAGGCCTATAATTATTTGGATCTAATCTGTTTCCTTTTTTATAGACTGGGGTAACTTTTGCAAGTTTAAAACTATCGGGAAAAATGCCAGTTTTGATACTAGTATTTATAATATGGGTCACAGGTTTATGTATTATTTGTGAAGTAAGTTTCAATAAACGTGGCCCGATGGTATCAACACCTGAAGATTTACTAATATCTAGTTTATTGAGTAAAGCTAGTACTTCATCATGATTTATGAGTGGGATAGAAAACTTGTCTACACCCAATTTAGACTGAACAAAATCTAAAAGATCTGTCAAGTCGTTTTCCTCCTTACTTATGCCTGAAAGGAGTTCTGTAGAAATATTTGAAAAATGAGAATTAAACATTTCTACTATTTCTTGCGTGTCCTCTGTGATATAATTATTTTTAGCAAGTGCAGCTGGAATATAATTATTAGATTTAGAGGCTAAATTGTTTAGTACATCCCACATTTGTTTTGGATTTGTGTTTTGTTCTATAGCTGTTTTGTAATAACTAATCTTGGCGTTTTCAATTAGTGATGTAACTTTATTGCGCCATATTTTGAAATTTTCAAAGTCTTTATTTTTATGGAGGGTATCACGCATGTGTTGAGCTTGCAGAATTTCTTGAGTTAACCATTTAGGTCTTGTGTCATGCTTAACTAATACCGCATTAAAAAGTGAATAAAATTTATTAAGAAGTCGAAAATGTGAAAAGTTTACAAACGGACGGACGACGGACAAAATGTGATCAGAAAAGCTCACTTGAGTCTTCGGCTCAGGTGACCTAAAATACTTTTCATTATCAATTTGTCAATAACTATTGTTATACTTATCATATAAGATTTTTTTAACATTGCAGTCTTCCAGTTTGAATGTGTAAAAGCACAATATACAGTAAAATACAAGAAAATGATTTTTTTTAGAAAAGAGAAAGTCGCCGTCACAATTTTGTTCATAATTTTCTCACAAGTGTAACGAGCATTAAGAATGCAAAATGTGTGTAATCTTAATATCAGAAGTTTTACACAGGACCCTGATTTACAAATAAATGCTTCAGTAATCAAAGTACTAACACAGTTATATTTGGGTTACAGGAGAAAACTAATAATTATGTTCTTGAGCATATACACTTTACAACTGTTGCAAAAACACATGGTCACGGTAAAATATTTGTTGCATATCACAATAAGCTGTAAGATTTTACCTTCATGACACACAATAGACACAAGTTGGACAACTGCATTTTTTTCCAATGTAAATTGTAGTAGCTGAAATCGGTTTTGAAATTCAAACATGAAATTAATATGATATAAATAAACATATGCCTCCAACATTTTCTTGAAAATAAAATTTCTGCTATCAAACTGCGGTTTAAAAATGATATTGCTTCTAATTGATGTCACTACAAAGTACATACTTTGTACATCACCTGAGTATCTTGGCTTGAAAAAAAGAAGATATCAGTTCCATTTTGAGAAGTTTAACTTTATAAATGGTCTCAAGCTCCCAGGGGGGAAGGGGCATCATTTGAACAAAAATTAAGTTGTAACAAGTTTACAACACAACAGACAACAAAGAAATCGGATCAAAAAACTCATTTAAGCTTTTGACTCAGGTGAGCAAAAATGTGTTTCGCCATGCAATTTTAAAACAATTACAAATATAAAATTAGACCAGATAATGAACACAATAAATTGATATGAAATAAACTTTTTCCCAGAGGTGATTTTACAAGGAAAAGTTCTCAATATAAAGATACACATTCTTCATTTCACATTTGTTCCAGTTTTCAAGGGGAAGCTTGTCCTCCAACATACAAAAGACTGACAGCACAATTTTCTAATATATATCAATGCTTGAAATTGTTCTCCTACAACAGTAAGTTTATCAAATCTCCCAGCCATCCTTTATGCTCTGCCATTTGTGGTGTATACCTCTAGAAAAATAAAATATTTTACATTATCATTAAAACGACATATAAATAACAAGTAAAATTGAAGATCTGAAGGGTATTTTATTTATTATGACATTTTAAAAGTACCTCTTTGCTTTCCTGGAGATGTCATCTGGCATTAGGGAACCCCCAACATGGTAGTGATGGAGTTAAATTTCTCCGGAATGAGAAATTAACCAACAAACCTCCAGAAGCAATGAAAAAGGTTTCGTAAACAAATCTTTCCAGGAACCATTATGCTCTGGCCCTTATGGTTTATACATGTACTTCTAGAAAAATAACAAATTTTAAATTCTAAATTAAAACAACATATAAAACTAGTAGACTAATTGTTCACTGAACAATTAATGGTCTTTCCACCTTTCTTTTAAGTTTTCATGTCATTTGAATTAAAAAAGAAAACAAAAAAAAAAAAAAAAAAAATTAATTAAAAAAAAAAATTAATAAGTGCTGCCAGACGGATTCGAACTGTGGACCCTCAGCCCTCAGATTGCCAGGCGAGCGCTTTACGCACTACACCACAGGCTCCGATGACTTTGTTTTCCGTAAACTAAGAGTGAAGAAAAAAAAGAAATGAAAGCACGTGGATTTAAATAAAAATAGTACAGAAACACGTGTATTTATTTGTTTGTTATGGAACATAGAGAGGAATAATGAATAGTTTCGAGAAAAACGATTGGTGGATAATGAAAATAGAGATTTCCTGTAAAAAAAAAATAATTTGAGTTCGTTTATAGTTTGAATAGATTGAGTTAATCAATACAGAGCTTATGATACATTCGAACTTCCGTGTCGGCACTGTGTTTACAATTTGTGAAAATATAGGCGCGTTCGTTTTGACAGAAATGGCAAACTCATAGGTTAGATTAAATAATCATCTCTATTTGCATTGAATTCATAGTTATGAGCATAAATTAAACTTGAAACATGCATTTCATGAAGAAGACGGTGTCACGGAGAGCGTGCAAATTTATTTTATATGAAAAATCGCTATTTCCGAGTTTCAGCCGATTCATATTTAAATCTAAATAAAATTAAAATAAATTCCATACACCTAAGAAAGCAAGAATACTTGGCATTAAAATGTCGTAATAGAGCAGGAGAATCGAATGATATTAACAATAATTGCAGAAATAGCCAATACGAGCTTTAATTAATTTTTATGCACAGCAGTAACTTAATTTCAGACAGAAAAAAAATGCAGATTTTGCCGATATTCACTAGAATTTCATTGTACTTTAGAGACTCACCTTAAAACTCTCAGGACACTTTCTTTCAGGTCTTTTCTTCCTTTCATTACGAATCTTATGTTGATATTTCGTTTCGTTTGACTTGTAGACATTTTCTCTAAGTTGGTGTTGATTTTATTTTTTTTTTTTATAAGGGGGGGTATTTTATAAGCATTTGTTAGAGTGATGGTTGTAAATACCTCCACGACCTTTAGCTTGATTGTGACCTTTGGGTCAATGGGGTCAAAGGTCAAGGTCATTTATCAAGGTCAAAGGTCAAGGTCATCCAAAGAGAGAGAGAGAGAGAGAGAGAGAGAGAGAGAGAGTTAAACTTGAGATTAACACTTGGAGCTGAATCTAGATAAAGGTAATGAATATTTCTTTATTACCTTTTGAGTAAGGGTCAAGGTCAGAGTTAAAGGTCAATGTCAAATTTCAAGGTCAAAGGTCAAGGTCATTTGGATTTTAAGCTTAAATTGACCATTTCTCTAGTTTTCCAATGACCTTGACCTTTGACCTTGACCTACTTTTCAAGTTCAAAGGTCATAAGATCTCATGCACTTGGTCCCATATCTTTACCACTTGTCCTTAAAAAGTTTTTAATTTTTCTTGTCAGCTTTAAGACTTTCAGGGGCAATAACTCATTGAAGGAGTCACCGAATACTTTTGCAATGAATAGATTGAAGAGTCCCCTTAATTAGTCAAAGACATTCGTAAAGGTTTCATACCTCTGCGGTTTATGGTTTCTGAGGAGTAGCGATAACAAGTATTTTTTGCGAAAGGGGCAATAACTTCGAAAGCGGTCAAGGTTCATTTACGCAGGGTCAACTGCAAACATCTTTTACGGAGTACATTCCTATGAACTATAAATCTTTTCGATATATCTTCAAACAAAAAAACATGCGGCGGCAAAATAATAAAAAAAAGAAAAAAGAATAATAATAAACAGAAGAATATCAATAGGTCTTTCCACAGAAAGGTGGAAAGACCTAATAAGATTTGAAGGGTATTTTATTTATTATGACATCTTAAATGTAAATCATTATCTTTCAAAAGCAATAAATTAAGATCACTTGAATTCCAATCCTCTGTAGGAATCCAAACCACTTCTTTATACAAAATGCTTACAAGTGCATTAGCAACACGTACACTGTCTACCTCTACTATCTTCTGAGAAATTGTTTGATGCTTTATGCATATCTGCTGCAATGCAAGTAATAGCTGAGACTTGCTTTGACAATTTTTCTTTGAACCTGATATTTTCCAGAAAATTTTGTCTTTTTCTTTTTTGAGCCCTTGACATCATCGACATAATACATCTTTAAGATCATCAAAATCTCAATCTGATCTTTATTTTTTTTTTTTACATCTCAAATTGTTAATTCCATAGTTGTATGACACAGGATGCCTTTGTGCTCGCATGTCATGCAGAACATGTGTATTTTTTTTTCACATACATTGTATTCCCATTTATGAATATTTTTTTTTATTTTATAATGAAAATAAATAAATAAGACACTTTCACCCTGTTATGTTACACTAAAAAAGTGGTCTATATTTTTCTGAAGCGATATGAGTAAACATAAATCAATTAAAATAACTTATTCCAGATTTATTATGAACAGGTGCATGTGGTGGATTTTGATCCGCTCCTGGCTAAAATAAAAATGGCGTCGTTCCAACAGATGCTTCGTTCTCATCGTATTTTTCGTGTGATACAACAAATAGAAATATTATCTTGGATAATTTCGTTTCGTATCATTGCATGCAGAAAAAATATTCATTCGATTTTCACTAAAACATGACCGATTCTCTCAAGAAAGTGGAAATCTAGTCGAAATTTCAATGGCATGTCCTGTCGCACGACTGCTGTTTTGTGTGTTTTCAAAGACTTGAAAATAATATTTCTAGTGAGGCAGTTGCCTCATTACTACAGTGGAAGCTACTTTTGCGGAAAAAACACAAAGAAAAATTTATATAGAATCAGGCCCTTAAAGCCGCAAAAACAAGGTGGCGCTAATGTTTACTCGGTCAGTACCATACAAAGTCCTATCGATAAACTACTGGCTAAGTTTATATTTCAGAGCAACACGTGCAACTATACTTAAATGTACATGTAATTACATTTACGTACCTTCTAAAAATTTCCTAGTAAGCCTCCACAGTCCCGTCAATTTCTTTTGAAGTCACTGTTGTGCTGCCGATTTTGCGTGTTTTTGTTTACAAAGCAAAGTAGCATGGTGCGTATGAATATGAAAAAAGTAGTTCGATCTCTATGTTAGGTCTATGTGTCATTTGTATAAATCCCAACGAACAGAAAAATTAACTAATGTTTTATGCAATTAGATTGAAAATTTTAAAAATCGACAAGACTATGCACATATAGGAATATGAGAAGTGACGAAATACACTTTCATTCTTCGGCGGTTTAAAATGCACTATTTTTTTGTCGGAACGACACAATAAGGCATGTCTGATGTCAATGAAAATGTTATTGTTTATACTTAAAATAAATTTCCTTTCAAAAAAAGAAACATTGACATGTCTTCAATATATATGTTCGCTTTTATTTATGTAGAGTTTCTCAAGATGTGATACAATTCATCGTAGAAGGAACTGAATAAACGAATTTAGGTCAACATTGCAAGCAGTAGCATTACTGAGTTGATGTCCATCAACTCGTAAAAATGGATGTGTGACGAATGTTTAACGAAACAAGCTACTGACAGATATAGGTAGATGATAAAAATATATCGGTGAGAAAAGTAGATAGAACGAACAGAATTCAAGCCCAAAATTTTAGTAAGCAATACAAATCAGGAGCAGAGCAAACACAGACCTCTTAAATATCAGAGATAGGATAAAGTGCCATGTTGAAATGAGCGCCCCCGGTCGAACTGTTGGAAGAGACCGTGTGGTCCTTTGTCATGATCGGAAAATAACGGGAAAAAATCGTGGACAATTCAATGTATTTGTATGCTTGTTAGTTGTTTAACGTCCCTCTCGAGAATGTTTCAATCATATGGAGACGCAACCACCTGCCGGTGGAGAGCTGTAAATTTTGTCCTTTGCTCGGCACTCAGGGCCATTGAGCAGTGAGGGAGCTTTTTCACGCATGCACCAACTGCAACATAGGACCTCCGTTAAACTGTCTCATCTGAAGTACCGTCTCTACATCTTACAGTGGGTTCCAACCCGTGACTCTATATCAGACGCTCTAACCACTGCACCACGCGGGCGCGATTCAATATGTAAATAATGACCTAACAATTTGTATGAAAATCTTCAGTCTTCATTTGACGAATTGAATGATTATATTTACTGAACCATACTGAACTACTATTTTCTAATGTCCGTGTTATCTTGGCTTTTAATTTCAACTTTGAGTAAATATCTATTTTATATCTTTATGTTTCACTTTCCATATTTTTATCAGATAAAAAGATGAATTTGAAAACCGAAGATAATACTGAGTTCTGTTTTGTATTCTTTAAAGACTTCCAGATAAAAAATTAATAGGAGGCGTTTCTGCATGGAGGAAGAAGGAATTTGAAATGGTCAATGGTTGGTCGAACGTGTTTATAAACTGGGGTGGGGAAGATGACGATATGAGCTACAGGTTTGTGTCTTTTAGAAAGGAATCAGCAATGTATGAACATTTTTATCCTTTTATTTTGAGAAAATGTACGAGGGTTTTTGTCCCAGAAAAAACGTGCGTGAACTTCTTGAATATTTTAAAAACTAACTATGTTTTGCAAATTGTTTAAAAATGATTTTTTTGTTATCTTGACACAATATTATTGGCCTGTGATGTCCTTGCCTTAATTAAAAGCAATATTTAAAGGTATTAAATATTTTATCCCACTACAGTTTTGTCTTGCATTGAAAAAAAACCTTTGTCAATGGAGTTTTATTTATCATCAGACTATACGGGAAAAAACCCCATAAATACAGTATGATCTGGTGTACTCGTGTATATTTTTTTTATAAATTTGACAATATGAATGAAAAAATATATGATGTAAAGTGCAAAAGCACTTTAAATTAGATATTGTCAAAAATGCTGACAATTGGCGATAATGTCCAGCACCAAATTATCAAGCAACACTGTGTTGAGCGGAACATGACATAGGGAAAAAGAGATGCTAAGGATAGAAAAACGTAAGTCAATTCAATTCTTTATTTCCTGTTGCCATATGGCACATCAGACAATTACATGTATTATAAACAAGGTATACATATATCTAAATCATTCAGTTATGTAATACATTTTTACATACGTATTATATACATGTATTAAACAGTTTAATAAAGCCATTCTTCTTTTTCTAATTTTCCCAATTTAGACATTTTGTTGAAATTTTGAACACTTAACAATTGTATAATTTAAAAAAAACTGGTTTTAAACATAATACTGTTTGATATATTTAATTCTAAGATCTTGATAACTATGTATTGAATCATAAACCTTGGACTGGTTAGAACAGATGTTTGGAAGACCATTCAACTCTTTCAAATTCATTAAATTGGGCCTCCACACTCACCTTGATTTTTTTCTGTTGGGATATTTCACGATGAAAGTGAACTCAAAATAGCTTGAAAAATGAAAAATTATTTCCCAGAGACTCTTTGCAATAGTAATGGGAACTTTCTTGCATCGGACAGATTTCTTCTTTCAGCAAAAATGACGCCATTAAGAGCATATTTGTTAACTACGTGAAATTTTACTAGTTCACAGTTCTATATTCCTTTATTCTATATTATTTGTTTGCCGTATTTACTTTTTTTTCATAAAAAATAATTCTTGAAGTTGTGACTTTTAATTAGAAATACTGGTGCATGGTATTGGTTAAAACACCAGTAAAGTCTAATTGATCAAAATGGTAGCATTTTTTCTGAAACACTCTGTACATAAAATTTTAATATACGAGGGGTGATCAAAAAGTTCGCGAACTATTTCTATATCTACAAAACCACAATTCAGAATAGAAAAAAAATTGGTACACAAATAGCCATCCACACAAGTTCTAAAAATAGCATATGTTGTAGTAAGTGTTGCTCCTTGTTTGTGACGTCACTTTGTAGATCACTTGTGACAAAAAATAGTTGTCTCAGTCGTACGCGTCCGACGAATGACTGTAAAATTTATGGTATATCTTGGAAATTCCTTTGCAGTAGCGTATGATAATTTATGTACAGTTTATTAAGACAAAAGACTTCCTATAGATTCAATCAATAGGTGGATTGATCGTTTTAAACAGTGAAGGAAGGCAGGTGGTTGAAAATAATACTTATGTTGGCCAGTGAAAGCAAGTTTGAAAAGAGATGTGTTTTTAATAAAGCGATCGATTTGTTATCAAAGACCTCCAATTTACAGTTTGAAAAATAGTTGAAGATCTTAACAATGATATGATTATTAAAAAACCTAGGATATCGTTTACTTTAGATTATAAACATTTAGATATGATTAAAAGGAGACATTCATTCTCTATCCACCTTGTATAAACATCTCTCCCAAGACAGATGATATGGGTTTTGATGGTCGCCATGCTATGTTTGGAATGGATACTCTTATCCACCCATTCTGTTGCCGAGATTTGTCCATTTCTGACAAATGAACTGTTCTTGTCATAAAAATTAACTTGCATGGAAAGAAATATGAAACTCAGAAAAAATCAGCTTTTGTGACAGAATGCTACGACGTGGGTCACGTGACCGCCTATATCACGTGATTCGTGCATGAGCAGAACGGTGGCAGATGTGTTTTAAAATTGGAGAAGAGTAATTTAAAATATAATCAACAATAAAACCAGATATTGTTTCTTCTATGGAGGTTAATCAATTAGTTCGCGAACTTTTTGATCACCCCTCGTTAAACGGAATTCATCTTCTACATCATTTAAGTCACATAATAAACACATTCTGTTATTTCTATTTTCATTTACATATCTACCTTCTTCAACCCGTAATTTATGACTAGACAGTCTAAGGCATGTTATATTTTTTGTATGCATGTTTAATACCTTTCAATAAATAATTCTGTTAAAGGTACTTGGGCACAGATTTGAAGTTAATAGTTTCTCTATAACATTACGACTTATATATTTTTATAGCGTTTCACCCAAAAATTAATCAAAAAATATTATTTCATTTAAAAGTCATTAAAACTTAAATTTTTTTGGCGGGTTTGATTGACACATCCTTGCACTTTCACAACTTTTAACTTTATTCTTAATACTTATGAAAAGTTGCAATCTTGTTGTGTATTAATGAAAAATATTAATACTATAATCCAGAAATTCAGAGTAGACATGTTCGAAAGCAAAACAAACACACAATATACTGTCAGTCCCTGCAGTTGTGGTGAACAGACTTAAGCGAGTGAACGCACCCGGTGAATCATAAACACCAAAAAATAACAGAGCCGTGCCGTGTTTACAAAAACTGTGTACATAACACGAATGTGATCGATTTGCAAAACTCTGTACACAACGGAATGACGATACCTGTGAAGGAGTTTTGCTTTCTAACATTTCTACTCCGAGTAAAATTATTTTTCTGGATTTAATTTTTAATATTTCTCATTGATACAAAACAAGATTGCCACTTTTCCTAAGGATTAAGAATAAAGTTAAAATTTGTGAAAGTGCAAGGATGTGTCAATCAAACACGCCAAAAAAATTAAAGTTTTGATAACTTTTAAATGAAATAAGATTTTTAATTAATTTTTGTGTGAAATGCTATTAAAATATATAAGTTCTAATATTATAGAGAAAATATTGACCTCAAATCTGTGTCCAAGTACCTTTAACAAAAATGGTCTATAATACACGTATGTTGATACAACTTTCCCTTAGTAGTCACCTTAATACTATCAAGGATTTCTTGACTACACACATAAAGAATTTTTGCTTAACTATAACTCTATGCATGAGTATAAAAGTTTTTGAAGAAGAGATAATTTAAGTAATTAGGAGTGTAATAGCCATGATCTTGCATATGACTTAGTTACGCAAAGTTATAAAAGACAACACTTTTGGCAATATTTCCCTTAATTTCATGCAATTTCGTCCATACATATTTCTTCTATGCTTATTAATATAACTGTACCCATTTGCCAGTGGTGCGCCCTTAATGGAAAAAGGGTAGAGATATAATTTTTACCTCTACTCTAGTTAGCCAGAGAACAGTTTAGTGTTTCATGAATACAATTGTAACAGTAAGCACTACATATTGTATGAATGCATTCTTTTTAGTTCAAATTCATCAGAATACAAGTGATCGAGAAAACTTGTCTATTTCAGTGACAATTTTAGTGATTACTGTAATAAAACGTTTACATTATTCTGCCAAAGAAAAATATGGTAGGAATGATCAACAAAAGAACATTGTAAATTTTGTGTGACATGTATTTGTGATAATATCACTACAACAAAGAATTACTCCATCCACATCTATATTCTACATTAGAGTCATGTACCCCCTAAAAATGTAAGCCATTTTTTTTTGTTAATGGTATAGGGTAGGTTATAATAAATGAACTAGTGAGCTTGAACGGATATCAACAAAATATGATTTTCTTATTCAATTCACATCACTTTAGATTCAATTGATCAGAAATTTGACCTCTTTTCACAGTGACCTTGACCTAGACTAGGGTTTGCAAAGTGGTCTACATTTTTGCAGTTCCAATGTGTATAAAGTTCTTCATAGTTTATATCTACTTCACAATGAAGGCTAAAATATATCTGACCTAAAAAGTTAATACCCTAGACGAGGACGGCTGGCCAAGAAAGCGCTGTGGAAAAAGAACATCAGAACAGGAAACATCAGCAGACGGGTGCAGAAAAAGAACATATACAGCGAGACGATGACGTTCAACTTCGACAAGACCACAGGGGAAGTAAACGTTCAGATGAAAGACTACAATGCCAAGCCCTTGCGACTACTCGGGAATCGTTACGAAAACTGGGACGTGTACAACACCTTACAGGAATACAACATGGTCCGAATGGAGGGCGTCACGATGAAGATAGACAACTTCCAGGTACACCGAATCATAACAACGACCAAGAGCGGACAGGACGTAGAAGAAAAGATCACGTTCACCGACCCAATCATATACTACTACTGGGACAAGCACGCGCAAGTTCCCGGAGCTATATCAGCGAAGACGGAGAACGCCCTACTAGAGCTGATGAACAGAAAATGCATTCATAATCGCAAGGACGGGTTTTATTTCACGAAGAGATTCAGCAACAAGTGGCAAAGAGGCATGGTAAGTCCAGCGGCCCTGAAGAGGTATATGGAGGGCTCCATTAGTATTGGTACGACCTGAGGGAAAGTGCTGCAAGACCTGGGCCTGAAACCGGTGCACGGAAACATCTTCGATGTATTCAACCCGAAATTCCCCATAGCACATAACAGCGTCTATCCACGCGACTAGTTCACATACGACAAGGCGGAACGGAAAGTGCGTGACTACCTAACCTACTGCACGGCCACTTACATCAAAATCCGGTGTCTACGCAAGGGTGAATAAGGGAATAAAAATGTATGAAGCTGAAACATAGCGTCATGTTAAACAAGAGGCCCATGGGCCACATCGCTCACCTGAGA